GGGGGGGGGGCTGAGGAATTGGGGTGGGAAAAGGCTGATGTGCTCCATAGAGCCACTGGATGAGTTCTTTATGAAAATAGATATGTGAAGGCCAAGGAAAAGATTAAAGGCATATCTAGTGCATAAATCCTTTTTCTGATACCTCTATTAGCTTAAGAGAATCATATAAAAATCTGAATTGTTTTGTTAATACTGTCCTTTTACTTTACAGCTGGATCATCATTGAACTAAAACACAAAACAAGAGAAAAACCTTATAATAGTCAAAGTTTGCAGAAGTAAGTGCTATTAAATGCATTATATTTGCTCAGTTGGTGCTCAAATGTTCCATCGTACATTAGCAAAACTAAAACACGTCTCAATACTTTTTGTATTTCTTAAAAAGATACTATACATACTATTTTTAACCTTATTTTGAAATAGAGTTGTAGGAATAGTACAGATTTCTCTAGTACCCTTCACCAGTGAACGTTTGCCACATTTTTTTCTTTATATGTGTATGTGTGCATGTATATGTGTGTGTGCTTTGTGTATCTATCAAAGCGTGTATATTTTTTCCCAGAACCAACTGTAGACATCATGCCCCCCTTTACTCCTGAATACTTGAGTATATCTTTTCTTAGAAACAAAATGCATTCTCTTACATAACCACTGGATAGTTTCTAAATTCAGAAAACTTTAACATATGGTGCTAGTTTTCCCAATGTTGTCCTTTGTAACAATTTTTAATCCTCTGACCCAGGATCCAATCTAAGATCCTGCATTGCATTTAGTTGTCATGACCATTTATTCTCTGTAATATGGAACACTGTTTTGGCCTTTGTCTTCCATGACCTTGACATTTTTGAAGAGTATGGGCGGGCAAGTTTTATAGAATGTTCCCCAAATTTGGTATATCTGATGTTTCCTTATTAAGTACAGGTTATACTTTTTTTTTCTTTTTCTTGGTTTATCACCAGCATTTATAAAACCAGTCCTAGGGAAGGAACTAGGTCTGGGGACACATACGTAGTCTTAATATAGTGAATGTCATGTTAATACATTTTTGAGAGAAAAGCCACTTAAGTGATAGTATGTACTCCAAAGTATTTCACTTTAGGTAAGACATGATGTCATCTTGTCCTTGTACTGATGGTGTTAACTATGGTTAAAGTAGTGTTGCCAGGTTTCTCCACTGTAGTTACCATTTTCCTCTTTTTAATTAAAAAATACAATCTGTGGGTAGATACTTAATACCCTGTTTCTAACCAAAGTGGAACTCAACAGTTGAGCATCAATGGATGATTCTAGCCTGAATCAATTATTACGATATTTGCAAAATGGCGTAAACTTTCCAATAAGTTTGGTTAATGACAATTCCAGACCTTGAGCTATCTGCTTAGTTAAAAAGTAGTGCTTCTTAATGTTGTTTAGTACAACCATTTTTTAAAATACATGATTTTTAATTATTTACAGTGCACTCAAGGATATAATCACAACTCGTTATCAACTGGATTCAAAATACATCGGAAATATTCTGGTAAGATTTTTTGTTGTTTAAAGTAAATGAGCTTTAGCAGAAAGTGTGGTTTGGGTCTGATTTTTGGTGGTGATTAAATTGCATTTGAGGATAGTTTCAGCCCTGGGCACTTCATAAAGCAAATTCCATATTTTGTTTTTCTTCCATTGCCTTTGAACACCTCAGTTTAGCCTTAAAGAAAATGTAGTATCTCTTCGTACACATGCCAGTCTTCTTACCCTGGGAAACTTCTGTCTCTGATTGCTGTTGGCATGCATTTACTTTCCGGTGCCTAGCTCCCATCTCCTCTGGTTTCAGGAGCTAGTCCTTAACCAGTTAGCCCTTCCTTAACTTTTTCAACTCTGGTTGAAAAATGCTTGAATAGTGTGATGGAACTCTTTCAAAGCAGTATGAGTTTATTCTTAAGTTCCTCTAGATCAAAATGATATTTTTTAAAAGTTTTTGGAAGGAATAAACTTTTTTGCTTCCTAAAAGCAGAAAGTGGTAAATGCATATTGCATTTCTTTTTTTTTTAATGTCTTTTTTTCTTCTTAAATATGTCTGTTGATTTCAGAGAGAAGGGGGGGGAGAGAGAGAAAGAGAGAGAGAAACATCAGTGATGAGAAAGTCATTTATCGGCTGCCTCCTGTACACCCTCTATTGGGGACCCAGCCCACAACCTGGGCATGTGCCCTGACCGGGAATTGAAGCGCTATCTCCTGGATAATAGGCCACTGAACCGCAAGGCCAACTGCATACTGCATTTCTTTAGCATTTTAGTTTTAAAGTAGTTCTAACCAAATGTGATGCTTTAATATCTTATTCTAAAATCTTTTCAGAAGAACATTCTTTTGATAAGAAAACATGCGTTGTGCCTGGCCGGGTGTGGCTCAGCGGTTGAGCATCGACCTAGGGTCCAGGAGATCGGGGTTCAATTCCTGGTCAGGGCGCATGCCCGGGTTGCAGGCTAGGCAGCTGATCAATGACTTTCTCATCATTGATGTTTCTATCTCTCTCTCTCTCCCCCTCCTTTCCTCTCTCTGAAATCAATGAAGATATGTTTAAAAAAAAAAGAAAAGAAAACATGCGTCATAATTATCATTGTTTGCATTGCTGTCTTAGTTCCTGAGAATAGATTTAAAGACCTTTCAAATATTTTTTATTTATTTATTTTTCCAAGCATTTTTAAATTATAAGTGAAAAACTCAATTATCTACTAGTGGAGAGGAACACTGACACATATAGATTACAGAAAGTCAAACAGTAAATATTCTTATTATTGAACAATGATATTTTCATCATTTTGGTTATATTGATATTAATTTGTATTTTTCAATTTCCCCCCAGTATGAGAATGATATTATCACTATTGATCTGGTGCAAAATTCTTCTCAGAAAACTAACAATGATGTGGACATAGCTGATGTGGCTTATTATTTTGAAAAAGATGTGAGTATAGTCATCCTCATTTTATCCCTGTGTTTACAAATGTAGTGTTTGTCATGTCTCAGTGAATTCAAGGTCTTTCATCATCTGTTTCCACGTATAGATCAGCCGCATCTTAGCTGTTCTAGTGGTTCTTGTGCAGCAGTTAATGTTGTTTTCCATGTCACTCTCAAGCACCTTTCTTATACACCTTTCTTTCTTGTTTGTGTATTTATGCCTTTTTATCACGTTGTCTCCCTAGAATATCTTCATATAATTCTTTTCTATTACCTCTTATTGGTAGTTGCTTAGTTTGTGTGTATAGCCTTTCCCTGTTATTTTCATGAATAGGAACTATGGGAGAAATGCTGCGTAACTCCTGTGACAAAATAGTTTGTTTAGCCCGGCCAGCGTGGCTCTGCAGTTGAGCATCGACCTATGATCCAGGAGCTCTCAGTTTGATTCCTGGTCAGGGCACATTCCCTGGTTGTGGGCTTGATCCCCAGTGGGGGATGTGCAGAACAGGTAAAATAAAGTTAGACTTGCCCTGGCCAGTTTGGCTCAGTGGTTAGAGATTCAGCCCACAGACTCAAGGGTCCCAGGTTCAGTTCCAGCCAAGGGCACGTACCTCGGTTGAAGGCTCAATCCCTGGCCCTGGTTGGGGCACGTGTGGGAGGCAACCAATTGATGTGTGTCTCTCACATCAGTGTTTCTCTCTCCCTTCCACTCTCTCTGAAAAAGCAATGGAAAAAATATCCTTGGGTGAGGGTTAAAAAAAAAAAAAGATTGGCGTTGCGTTTAAATTATTGAGTCTGGCCCGGTCTGGCATGGCTCAGAGGTTGAGCATCGACCTAGGATCCAGGAGATCGGGGTTCGATTCCCAGTCAGGGTACATGCCTGGGTTGTGGGCTCAGTCAATGACTCTCTCATCATTGATGTTTCTGTCTCTCTCTCTCCCTCTCCCTTCCTCTCTCTGAAGTCAATAAAGCTATAAAAAAATAAATAAAATAAATAAATTATTGAGTCTGGTGATAGGTACATGGGACTTCATTATAGAATTCTTTCTATTTCTGTATAGGTTTGAAAATTTCCCATAATAAAGTTTTTCTTTTTAAGTTTCAATGTATGGGATTATTATCACTGAAACCATAAAGATTTTCGGCAACAGATCTTTTGGTTTATAATTGATGTGTAATTCCATGTGGCCAGGTTTTCTTAAATATTTTAAATTGCTTTTCTCCTTCTCAATATAGGTTAAAGATGAATCCTTGTTCCATTCCAATAGACTGGACCTGAGAGTAGATGGGGAACAACTGGATCTGGATCCTGGTCGAACTGCAATTTACTATGTTGATGAAAAACCACCTGAATTTTCAATGCAGGGTCTAAAAGCTGGTATTATTGCTGTCATCGTGGTTGTGGCAATAGCACTTATTGCTGGAATTGTTGTTCTGGTGAGTATAGAACAAGTAAAATTTCACTTACAGGTGTATACTTTCAAAGAAAGGGGACAATATCAAAAGGCTACCTACATCCATGTTCCAAAATGATATAAATGAAACAAATCATCTTTTTGGTTTTTCTTAATAATTCCTGATAGTGAGTGAATCTGTTGTATTTCTGATCCCTTTTTATTTAAAAAAATCACCTTATGAAGCAAGGAAGGATAATACTAATCTGAGAAAAGCTTTAGCCAAGCGCCTCACAGGTCAGTCACTTTGCCATCAAGCAGCAACTGTCCTTCAGTTCACCTGCCAGGATTAGTGCAAAATACCTAAACTTCCAAACAATTCAATGAGATGAAACAACAGAACACAAGTTAAAGGTAGCATAGAAAGAAGTTTGAAGTGATAAATATGAAGCAACAATTCTAAATAAAACATTAGCAAAGTGAATTTCATCGTGCTTTAGAAGAATGTATTGTGCGAACAAGCAAGGTTTATTCTAGAAATATAAGGATGCTTCTTACCAACATAAAGAATTCAGAAATAGATTTGAGGGTATATGGGAATTCACATTGTCAGTTCAGTGGAGTTTTCCCACTTGGCTATCCACCTGGAAGAAAATAAAAGTTGAATTCCAGATTCACCCCACCAAGGCTGACCATACTGCCCACTCTGTGAGTGGCAAAGCACATGTGAAAGGAGGCAGGCAGTGCACCCATGTTGAAATACGCAAATTCCAGATGGATTAGCATTGGAAATGTTTAAAAATAAAACATCGTAAGATTAATGTAGGAAATGTTTATATAACCTGGTGGTAAAGGAAACCAAGTAAAGCAACAAATCTGGAATCAGTGAAGGAAAAGATATATGATTTCATTGAAATTAAAATTTGTATGACAAAGATACTGTAAAGTAAAAAATGTTAATGATAGGCTGGGTGAAAATACCATGCATAAAATAATAAATGGGTGTTATGCATAATGTATAAAGAGTTCTTATAAATTGATGAGGATACTAATGCTAGTAATGGTGAATCTGCAAACCACCTGAGCATGGTATACCTATGCTATAGAATAAAGCAACATTTAAAAAGAACGAGTTCAATCTATAGGTTTTTTATTTTTTATTTTTATTTATTGATTTTAGAGTGAGGAAAGGAGAAAGAGAAACATTGACTTGTTGTTCCACTTATTTATGCATTCGTTGATTGGTCCTTCTGTGTGTCCTGACCGAGGATCAAACCCACAACTTGGCATGTTCAGACGATGCTCTAACCAACTGAGCTACCTGGCCAGGGCTATAGTTTTTGATCTGGTAGGGTTCCTCTTACAATACAGGCTGTGCAAAAATACTGCATGATCACATATGTTTATGTTTGTATCAGGACGCAATAATAGGCAGAAGAATGTACACCAGGCTGTTAAATTTCATTAAAAATGATTCATTGTTTTCTTGATGCATTTTTTTTTTTTTTTTTTTTTGGTGGTTTCACTGGTGGTGGCAGACCTTTTTTAAAAAAATTTGTTTTTAGTTGTGAATTTTAATTTAAGAAATAATGTCTTTAGTTGGATTTTAAAATTAACCTTGTTCATATAGGAATTATGTGCATTAAAAGTATGTGAGTTTAGACCTGCTATTTCCAACCTTTTCTTTTTTTAAAGTATTTCTTTATTGATTTTAGAGAGCGGAAGGGAGAGGGAGAGATAGAAACATCAGTGACTCATTGATTGGCTGCCTCGTGCACGCCCCCTACTGGAGATTGAGCCCATAACCCAGGCATGTGCCCTGACTGGGAATCGAACCTCAGTCTCCTGGATCCTAGGTAGATGCTCAACTGTTGAACCATGCTGGCCAGGCTGTTGTCATTTTTTTATTTGACGGTCTAAGGGAAAATAGGTCAGTGCCCCTGACTGAGTAGGCATTGCATGTTTTAAAAATTCTTGTGGCACACCAGTTAAAAATCACTGATTTAGACCTTTTTGTTTGGGTAGCAGTCCTAAAATTGTAATGATTTTTCTTCCATTCAGGTTATTTCCAGAAAGAAAAGAACGGCAAAGTATGAGAAGGCTGAGGTAAATGGATTACTTAATAAAAAGGCCCTTGTTTAATCTTTTACTCGTAATAATCACTATATCTTCATAGACACTGACAGGTCTCAATTACACTGGAGTCCTTTTGTAATATTGTCCATATTGTCCACACTCTTATAATGCTCCCTTACTTAAATTTTCTTGCTCAAGTTTCATGACAGAGCAGCTTGTAATGAATTCTGCCTCATAGAATAATGGGATAGGAAGCCTGTGAAATTTTTTTTGTACAAAGTTGACATTAGTGGAATCTTTTAGAAGCATACTCTGGTGGATTCATATTAGAGAAATTCGGTATGACTAATCACCTGATTTATTGTCTCTATGTTACTGAAATAATCATGAAAAATCAACTTAATTTAGGTCCTAGTAAATTTGTTGCATACCAACTAGTCACAAACACTAGTGTGAAATTGCTAGTGTGTTTCAGTCACTAGGAATTTGATATAAACACACTTGTCCTTGAATCCATCAATAACATTTTCAGTATACCCACCAATTTTTGGATATTTATTTTTGTAAATGGTATATGTGCTATTTACTGATATTTTACCAAATAACACAGAAATGTAAAAGAATATTGAAAAAAATCTAATGGAACTAGAAAGTTCTGACATTTTCCCATACCGTAATCAGTCATCTGACTTACCTGTTGATGACCCCTGGTCTAGGGGCATATCAGAAAGTCAGAATGACAATGTAGTGTTCTGATTAAGAACAATATAGACCTAGATTTGAACACTTATTAGCTGGATGAGTTATTTGACTTCTTTAAGCCTCCATGTTTCCCTATCTGTAAAGTGACAATAATAGTACAGACTCGTGAGGATTAAGCAAAGTAATCCATGTAAGGTGTTGGTCTCATGCTTGCCACAGAGCAACATGTTTGCCCAATGTAGTAGCTGTCACCAGGTCTCGGTTCTGCCTGTAACTAATTGTGTGACCTGGGACTAGCCACTTAAATTTGAATTACAATTTCCTCACCCATAAAAATAAAATATTGATGATAGAAAATGAACTGTTTCTTACTAGATGTAAAAGTGGTATACATTTAATAAAAATCTTACCCATTCTTAAAGATCTAGCTTACCTGCTTCTTTCATCTTAGCTCTCTAAACAGTAGTTTGAATCATACACCCAATGTGTGCTTACTTGTAAGATAGCTTCCTTTTTTAAAAACTTAAGTCTCATAATGGAAGAGAAGCATCTTGCTTTCCTCTTCAGTAGTAGTTGTTTTTTTTTAACTTCTCAGAACAAAAGATTGGAAAATTATTTAATTTTTTTTTCTCTTTTTTCCTCTATTTCAGATAAAGGAGATGGGTGAGATGCACAGGGAACTCCATGGATAACTGCTGTAATTTGAATAGTAACTAGAAGAAGGGAAATTTGCAGACCGACTCAGATTACAAATGTATGAGCATAAGACAGAAATCTTTGAAGACTATTTTGTTAACATATATTTGTAATAGTGAAACCTGTACTCAAAATATAAGCAGCTTGAAATTGACTTTACCAATCTTAAAATTTGACAAGTGTCATATATATGCAGATCTGATATCCCAGATTCTGATAGTCTCAGAACTGCATAGTTAAAATTATTTATACATAACATTGAAGAGTGTGCTTTAAATGTGCTTTCACAGTAGAGTTCAAATGACTACTGTCTCATCCATTTGTGATTGAAAGCTGCCTTCCTATTTACTTTTGAGTCATGTACATAAAAACCTTTTTTTATGAACTATGAAATAAAACATTTTAAAACTGAATTTCCTAACTGTTTGAATCATTGAATCAAATTTCATAGTATACACATAAGATAATTGGTTACAAAATGCTCTGAAAGCTAACTACAAATTAGAGTTATGCATGAGTACTTAAAATCATGCATATTCAATATAAAACAGCCTATGTTACGTAACTTCACAGAAAAGTCAGTTTTATTCAGAATGAATCTAAAGATTCTGTATTAGACAAACTGGCATTTTGGCAAATATACCTTGGGGCAGAATTGATAGACAATGTTGTGAACCATGAATTCTATGGTTGGTCAAATTAGAAGCACCAGTTTTCAATATATATAATGAATAATTATGGTACAAATAAATCTACAGGGTGGGGCAAAAGTAGGGTTACAGTTCATATGGAAAATAATGCAATAACTAATAAAGAATAATACAAGAATAAACTTCCACATACAGCTGTAAACCTACTTCTGCCCCACCCTGTATTCTATATGAAGTTAAATATCAACCTTTTTGTAGGAAAATTTTAAAAATACTATGATAACATTAAAGAAAATGTAAGATTTACAAGCATAATTTTTATTCGTTCTGTAGTAGGCAAAATTCTAGGATGGTCCCCAATATTTCTTAGTCCTGATGTGTATGCCCTAGATTAAATTATATTAAATGGCAAAGGTGAAGGAATTTTGCAGATTAAGAACGTTAATTAGTTGACTGATTCAAAAGGAGATTACTGCTGGTGAGTCTGACAATCAGATAATGCTTTTTATTATTTTTTTAAATATGTCGATTTCAGAGAGGAAGGGGGAGAGAGAGAAACATCAATGTTGAGAGTCATCTATTGGTTGCCTCCTGCACATCCCCTGCTGGGAATCGAGCCCCCAACCAGGGCATGTGCCCTGACTGGGAATCGAATCTTCATCTCCTGGATCCTAGGTCAATGCTCAACCGCTGAGCCACACCAGCCAGGCTCAGATGATGCTTTTAAGGGCGTCTAAAGGTAAGCAGTAACAGCACAGGCTTTTCTGTTAGCTTTATTTTTAAAAAATATATCTTTATTGATTTCAGAGAGAGGAAAGGAGAGGAAGAGAGAGAGAAACGTCAATGATGAGTCATTGATCGAGCCCGCAACCCGGGCATGTGCCCTGACCGGGAATCGAACCCCGATCACCTGGATCCTAGGTTGACGCTCAACCACTGAGCCACGCCCAGCTGGGCTCCTGTTAGCTTTAAAGCTAACCAGGGCATGTTGTGGAGAGGGTAAATTATCAGGAAATACCAGGCGGACCCTAGGAGCTGAGGGCCTCAGTCTCAGAGCCACAGGAACTGAATTATGCCAACAACTAATGACCTTGGAAGAGACCCCGGCTCCAGATGACATCACAGCCCTGGCTGACATCTTCAGCAATCCTAAGACCCTGAGAAAAGGACTCAGTTATGCTATGGCTGGACCCCTGATCCAGGGAAACAAATGCTTATTGTCTTAAGATGCTAACTATGGTAATTTGTTATACAGTGATAGAAATTAATATAGTTAGTAGGAAGTAACAAGTAACACACCCTTAGAGCTGAAATAGAGCACCCAAGGAAGAGATCCCTACTGCTTCTGGGCCCCAGAGTTTGAGAGAGGCAGAGAGGTTGGTGCAGTATGGTACTGGCAGCATTCAAATTTCAGCCTTGTGGAATCTGATGAAAATCTTCCCTCTAGGGCTACAGCCTACAGGCTGGCCCATCACCACCTGTTTTTATACAGTGGAGGAACTAAGATTGGTCTTTGCATTTTTAAATGGCCGGAGGGGGGGAATATTTTGTGATATGTGAAAATTAGATGGAAGCCCAGCTGGGCGTGGCTCAGCAGTTGAGCATCAACCTAGGATCCAGGAGATCGAGGTTCGATTCCTGGTCAGGGCACATGCCTGGGTTGCCGGCTCGATCCCCAGTCAGGGGTGTGCAGGAGGCAGCTGATCAATGACTCTCATCATTGATGTTTCTTTCTCTCCCTCTCCCTCCCTCTCTCTGAAATCAATAAAAATATAAAATAAAGTAACCAATATTTAACCACTAAAGGAAAAAAATCTTTAAAAAAAAAATAGATGAAATAAATCCAGTGTCCATAAATAAGTTTTATTTTTTACATAAGGTGTGTGGCTTTTTCAAACTATAATGGCATATTTTAGTAGTTGTGACAGACTCTACTGATGGCTGGCAAAAACCTAAAATATTTACTTTAGTCCTTTACAGAGTTTGCTGACCGGTCCTCTAGGGTGCTGGGGAAAGCTATTTATAGGGACATGTCTCACCAGACACCAAAGCCACTCTATAAAGCTACCTTTTTTTAAAAAACGTTTTTTAAAAATACATTTTTATTGATTTTAGAGAGAGAGGGAGAAGTCTACAGTGATGAGAGAAACATTGATTGCCTGCCTCCTGCACACCCCCTACTGGGGATTGAGCCCACAGCCCAGCCATGCTCCCCAACCAGGGGTTGAACCTGTGACCTCAGTGCATGAGACGACTCTCAAAGAACTGAGTCACACCAGCTGGGCTAAAGCTACCTTTTATAGTTGGGATGTGGGGCAGGTTCTCAGGAAAGCTGCTGGAGCAGCTGCATTGTGCTGGAGAAGCCCTGGGTCTGCAGGAGCAGGGCACTGGGGAAGCCAATGATGCTACAAGAGAACAACACTCTCCTCTTGCAGTGTCTCTCCAGCGCCCTCTACTGACAAAGCCGCAGATCCATTTTTTCAGTGGGCCTTTTCTGCCCTTCATCCTGAGTTCTACACTAAAGTGTTTCATTCCCTCACAAACCGTCTCTTGTATTCTCAGAATCTGTTAATGACACCACCATGTACCAAGTCCCAAATTCTTTTCTCTCTCTTACCTTCTCTGTTCCTTTAGTCATCGGGCCCTGTGATTATCTCCCTCAGAAATAATGTTCCTTCTCACACATTTTCACTGGTCTCTTTGCCACCAAGCTATTCTTTCTCTAGCCCAAACTCCACATTGCTCCCAGAATCATTTGCCTAAAGCTGATCATTTTATACAACCTAAAATCTACTCTTGCCTGCTACTCTTACCATACAAGGCCTTTCACAGTCTGGCCCTGTAGTGGACACGCTTTCCCCTTTTGGCTGTACAGTACCCCATCCTCTCTTCAATTTGGGGAGAATTCTTGTTATGATATTACTGAGAGACAGTTCTCTGCCTCCCTTTGCAGAAGTTTAAGGGTAGAGATCCTCCCTGCACTCTCAGTAGCCAGGGCACAGGGACCCTCTTGTAGGTATGTATATATCTGAGAAAGAGAAAAACATATCTACATAAAAAAAATTTACACAAATGTTCACATCAGCATTATTCATGATGGCCCCAAAGTTGAAATGACACAAATGTCCACCAACTAATGGATGGATAAATTAAATACGTACCCATACAATAAAATATTACTTGGTAGTAGAAAGGATTGAAGTACTGATACATGTAACTACATGGATGAATTTTAAAAACATATGCTAAGTGGGAGAAGCCAGTCACTAAAGACCCACCCCATATTATACGATTCCATTTATATGAAATGTCCAGAAGAGGCAAACCTATAGAGACAGAAAGTTGGTTAGTGGTTGTCAGGAGCTGGGGGCTTGGGGGAGGGTTTATTTGGAATGGGGATTGACACTAATGGGTATGAGGGTTCTTTTTGGAGTGACAAAGTGTAAAATTAGAGTTTGGCAATGGTTATACAATGCTGTTTAAATACTGAAAAGCATTAAATTACATACTACTTTAAATGGGTGAATTATATGGTATGTGAATTATTATTATTATTTTAATCCTCACCTGAGGATATATTTTCCATTGCTTGTCAAGAGAGCGGAAGGGAGAGAGACACAGAGAAATACCTATGTGAGCGACACACATTGATTAGTTGCCTCCACACTCAAGCCTGCAACCGAGGTACATGCCCTTGGCTGGAATTGAACCTGGGACCCTATTTTCCCCAATACTTATTCTGATAATAAAAACAGTAATAGTCATTATCATGAATTTGGAAAATATGAAAAAATTAAAAACAACCATGTTGGGAAAAAAACCATGTTGGTGTAATTATTTTATTCTATCAATCATGCCATGTCTTCCAGGTATATTTTCGCAAATTTCCTCTTGCAAGTGTTAACGTAAGAAAACATTCTAACCTGTGAACAATTTTTGTGAGTTTATTTGAGCCAAACTGTTGACATATTCTGGGAAGCAAAATCTCAACGGATTGAAATAATGCTCCAGAGAATGGTAGTTTTGCATTTTGCTTTATAGATTACAATCAAAGGAGGAGGCAGGAGAAAGCAAAAGGGGAGGGGGGAATCTCTTGGATTGGATAAAAAGTAAAATGATAGACACATCTTCTCTCACATAGGTAGGTACAAGATAGTTAATAGTCAACACTTAACATAATAATCGGGGGATTTGTGGTCTCCAAAGAGCTGTGCCTGTGCTATGAGGGGTTTGGAGGGTCTGGAAAAAGGAAAATTAGTTTGTTTTGCAAAGGCACATTAATTAGGTATGTCTCTCAGATGCAGAAAGATGACAGACAGGCTTAGTTAAGGTGAAAATTAACTTTTGTTAGGGAAAAATACATGACTACCAGCCATGAGCTGCTTTTAGTAAGAAAGTTTTCATTTCAGACCATCCTTTGTGGTTATTTTAGGTGTGAGTTTGCAAGGCCGCCACACAGGTCTGCCCTGAGCTTTTTGGCTTCAGTGTGTGGCCCCTGAAATGTTAACAGTTGGCGGGTGTGTGAGGGCAGGCTAAATAGCCACCTCAGCTGGGTGAATAAAGAAGAATTAAATTTATTAAAGGGGGATGAGAATATATATCCAAAAGGAAGTGCACAGCTCTGAGTCAAATGGCATTGGGTACGTGATGGCAGCCAAAATATACCTGGGACAGTGAAACCAGAAAGAGCATGGAAGAAGCAACAGGAGAGCCTGGGCTGGGCTGCTTTGGCTCCCTGAGAAGTCAGGGGAGGGGCCCTTAGA